AGGGCAGCAGCCCCCGGTTTCCATGGCCTGGGGGGCAGGTCGGCCAACACCCTTCCAATCGGTAACATTTCTCTTTAAAGGAGCCAGTTTACTCTGAGAAAGTGCTGGTGTTGGAAACCGGCTGCCCATGTCCTGCGGGAGCAGAGCAGCGAATCAGGTCCTTTGCTACTCTGGACGGAGGAGCTGTTGACGGTGTGAAGATTAATAAATGGAGTTGCAGGGTCTGTCCAGGAGCTCTCAGCCTAGCCCTCGTTTACCTGCTAGCCGGGCAAGAAGATGGGCAGCTACTCAGCCAATGAAAGACTGCCCCAGCTCAGCCAATGGAAAGCCACGACACTTTCAACTCCAAGTTTCCTCCAATAGATTCTCTGTCTACAACAGCCCGGAAATCCCCCGCCCCCCAAAAAGAATGTTCTTCTCTTTGGGTCTAGACTCTAGGGACTTGCTGTGGTTTGGGGACTATGAGCAGCCCTAGGGGAAGGGTGGTTGCTTCTAAAGGTGCAAACGGCCCACGAAAATGCAATGACAAGTCCAAGGCCCTCAGTGCCAGCCCATGCCCAAGGCTGGTTTGTGCTCTGACAGCGGTTCTGAAGAGCCTGAGAACTTTCCGGGCCCGGGGAGTCGATGCTGGTGCAATACACTGAGACATCATTCGCCCTTTTCACTGGGGTGATGTTCACATGACAACATACATGCAATAGCGGTAAAACGGCTGCCGACCTGCACAGATCTGGACGGTGCCCCAAAGCGCCAGTCCTGTGTCCTTCAGGCCTCACACCACCAGCTAAGAAAAGGTCATTTGCTCAAGAATGTCTTTGACCGGCCAGAGGTCACGGGAATCGGCACATGCCGGGGTTGCGGGCTCAGGGGGAGGCGTGCAGGAGGCAGCCGATCAAAGATTCTCTCTCATCATCGATGTTTCTATCTCTCTCTCCCTCTCCCTTCCTCTCAGAAATCAATAAAAATATATTTTTTAAAAAAGAATGTCTTTGACCAAGGAGTAAGTTATTATTTTTCTTAATTCTCTGTCCTTGAATATGGGTCTTTTTTTTTTAAATCTTTCATGTGACAGAAAATGAGAAGAATGCTTCTGCTGAGTACGAATCATGACAGCTGCCTCAAGGAAAAGTCCTTGGGTGGTTGAGTTTCCAGCTCAACCTGG